AACACAGTGTCTGCTGGAGCTCCTGAGAGACTCTGCAGTGTGTTGTGGAGATTTCTAGGACCTAAGCAGAAGAATAAGAAATTAAGCCATTTATGGAGTATTTATGAATATGGATGGGTATTAAAGTTCCATGCAGAAATCCAACCTTAAGGGGTTTATTATTGGAGCTAAAGCACATCGAATCAGGTTGACTTTCAGCTCCCTTCATGTCCGCAGAAGGGCAATTTTCCTGAGAGCTCAGTGCGCTTATTTAAAGAAAGTTTCACAAACTGAGGAGAATGGCTGCTTTCCTCCTGCTGCTCAGGAGAAGTGCTGTAAACGAGTTTCCTCCTTTATTTTATCGCTCTGTTTTAGTCATCGCATGCTTGAGCGGCCGCTGCTGTGCCGGAGGAGCTGTGAGTAAGCCGTTGAATTAAAAGAAGGATGCTTGTTTCCAGTCCTGCTTGTTCTGCTTCCATCATGGCTCCAGATCCACACAGTCCACACCAGAGTCGTCTCTGTGTGTTTAGACGATGATTTCAGGTGGCAGCACAAATATAGCCACTGCAGCGCTGTGTGTGTCGCTTGCAGACACACACGCCACACACACTCGGACACTTGCTGCTCCCTTGAATCCTGTCGGATGCTCACGTCCGCCTGGCTAAGACACACATCCAGAGAGACAATTTGTGCCCAGTCATCCAGAAATCACAAGGACGCCTGTCGTGTTGTTTGTCCGGGTAGTTTGTCTTTGTTTGCCGGGCGGCTCGTGATGCCCTTGGATAGTGATGACTCTTGTGTTTGTGTTTGTGCATGTCTTTGGCTCCCACTCACGCAGCAACCCTTGGAGCCGTGGAAACTCTACGCAACAGTTGGAGTGCTGCTGGCCATCGACTTCCTGTCGCTCATGATCTGGCAGATTGTGGATCCTCTGCACATCACGGTGGAGGTAGAGTACGAGAGACGGATGAGATCATGGTTCTGAGTAATGAGACGCTGAGGCGTGGCTGACAGAGCGCCGGTTCTCATTTCCACATTCAAAGGCCTCAAATCAAGAAACAGACTGTAAAAAACAGAAACCATGAAACAAACTCATGTTGGACTAATGTCAGTTTAATAAATCAAACAAGTTTGGTTGAGCCAGGAAAACAGTTTAAATCAGAAAGTAAACAGCTAAACGCTCTGAGTCCTGCAGTAGAAATAGAAACATTTTTAATGTTAAAAAAATGCATTATTTTTAAATTATTAATTAATATCTGTTTGGATCCCGGGTTTGGATCCTGTGGAGCTGCAGGTTCTGCATAAAGATATTTTCTCCATAAGTGGAATAATCTGCCAGTACTTTTTTAATCAATATTTAGGAATTATTGATTTATCTGTGTAAGTTAGTTTTAAGTTAGTTTTGTCTTATTTTGTACTGAAATATTTGCAGTGGAAACTAAAATACTTTATAAGTTTTGTGTTTTTGCAGTGTGATTTTAGAAAGTGTTAGTTTAGAGTGTGAACACATGGAACCAGGTTATTGGTTTTCAAATACATATTTCTCTGTAAATTAGTTTAATTTGACATGGTGTGTGTGTCACACTGGATGAATTCATCCAGCCTGATTGTCAGGGGGTGAATAAATCTAAGCTCTCTTCCTCCTCTCTCCTCTTCCTCCCCTCTCCTCTTCCTCCTCTCTCCTCCTCATCATTCCTGCTCTTCCTCCTTCCTGCTCTTCCTCCTCTCTCCTCTTCCTCCTCTTCCTCCTCCTCTGTCCTCTTCCTCCTCTCTCCTCCTCCTCCTCTCTCCTCTTCCTCCTCTCTCTTCCTCCTCCTTCCTGCTCTTCCTCCTCCTCTCTCCTCTTCCTCCTCTCTCTTCCTCCTCCTCTGTCCTCTTCCTCCTCTCTCCTCCTCCTCCTTCCTGCTCTTCCTCC